AAAAATTTAAGGGGGTCTGAATACTTTCCGTACCCACTGTATAAATCCCACTAGTTTGTAACTTACATTTTCACCAAGTGGCTCAATGTTTATTTGAAAATAATGTTCTAATTATACAGAGGAAAGCTGCATCACTTGACCGAGGTTCCTGAAGAAGAGATGAGCCAATAGCCTGGTGCTGGCTCATCAATGCTCTAAAAGTTTTGTTTATTAAATTTCATGAGACAGTGAGAGACTGTACACTGTCACTCTGTTATCAATTGAATAATCTTTAGCTGTAACTAGAGGCTGAGTTTGATCAAATACTCCCTTTAATTTGTGTACAGTAGGGGAAAGGTATTGTCCCACCTCAACACCAAAATTACTACTGGTGAGAAACTGAGCTAGAAAGCTAGCAACAAAATACTATGATGAACACTACAAAAATTGTAGTTCAAATTAAAATCTAAAACTTGATGTAAAAAGGCAAAAGTTAAATTAAAGTGGCAAATGAAAGCAACTGGTTGAACTGTCGTCAGAGCTTAGAGCAAATTATCTTCTTCCTTTGGAATTTCATTTGTTGCATTTCTAGTGCTATGAAAGACGTATGTCCATTAAACAGTGTGGAATAATCCTCTGGCGGATGCTTGGCTCATGTAATATCGTGCCATTGGTTTAGGTTACAGCATTTGGGGGAGGTTTACAACAGTTAGAATTACTGCCCATAATGCTAGGTGTGTCTGATTTGCAGATATAATTAATTGTTGTCCTTCACGACAGTTCCATCAAAACAAAGACAAATGTTCATAAGAGCCATTGCTTTGATTTAAAAATGACAAGAAGCTTCAAAAAAAGCAATGCATGCACGTACACTTCTGAACCTCGTTATCTAAACGTCTGACATGAATTGGGAGGAAAAAAGCAACCTGAAGCTGATGTATAAAACTAGTTAATGAATATGATAACTATAACAGAAGAAAAATATTAAAGATGGAAAAACAACAAAAAAAAAGCTACATTTTTTTGAAAAGAGCTGAAGCAAAATGGCAGCCAGTGCAGTCCCTTACCAGGTTAGTTTTGTTACTAGTTCGAATACGTACGGGTATTCCCAGTAACTGGGGATCAACCGGCTGACGGAAGGGAAGGGACTCAGGGTCCTGCCGGTACAAAGCTTCCAGGGTGGGCATCAGTGCCTGGCGCAGCTCCTCTGGCTTAAAGACTGGAAAAAATGGAGCAAGAACAACAAATGAGAAATGAGGGAAGTACACTTGAGCACACTTTGGCATCTCTTCCCAATCACTAATGAGCAGACAGTGGCAAGTCGTGGAACAACAACACAGTGAAGACTGAAAATGTACTTTTCTTCTTGCTTTGAGTGCTGACTGAGGAGCTGTTGGTGGCTGTTGACCCCGACCCCTCCTCCTCCTCTTTGGGCTCTTTCTTCAACTCTCGCTTCTTGTCTTCACCTGCTGCTGCTGAGGAAGACGCAGAGGATGAAGATGTGTCCATGGGCTCATCTTTACACCCCTCTCCTGATGGCTTCTCTTTCTTGATCTAGGAGGAAAATTGAAGCGTCAGTGATTTCAGATTCAGCTTTAATTGCAAAGAATTTCGAGCACACAAGGAATTCGTCTCCAGCACAGAGGATCTCAGTGTGTTTTAGACAATACAAATGGTGTGATCAAAGGCAGGGGAATGGCATTTCATACTTGACGAAATGTCCAGGATTTTGAGACACATTTTTAAAGTGAGGCAACCTGACCTCTGGCTTTTCCTCCATCTTCACGTCAGGCTGACCCTTGCCAATTTTGCCCTTGCCATCTCCTTGAATGTCAGCCCCTTCGTCATCCTCCTCCTGCTTCTTCATCTCCACTTTGACATCTTCCTGGCTGGGAGGAGGGCCGTCTGCCGGTGCGAGCTGGGAGCTGGGATCAGCACTGCTGTTGACTGAGGCTGGAGAGGACACCTGACCGTCCGCTGTCAGAGAAGCCTTCTGAGATAACTGAGACAGAAAGGACAGAGATGGAGTGAGGTTTTGAAATGACAAGTTAAAATCCACAACCTGCAAAGTTTATTGATCCAGTTGAAAGACTCGATCATTTATTTCTTCCTAAAACTCATTTGTCCTTCAAAATTTTTATAGGACACGTTTTTGAGACAAAGTTGTTCAATTTTTCATTTGGATTTTTGTGCACTTAAGAGGAAACCAAAAAAAAAAAAAAAAGAGCTTGCATACAAGCATAATGCGGATCAAGCATCCCTTGTAATTCGAAGGTTTGCTGAACTGGAGCGACAGGGAAGCCAAGAACATCAATGAATAAGGCTTAAACATGGTTTGAGAGAAAAAAGTCTATGCTGAGCAAAGCAGTGAAAGCTGGGCGATGTACTCACCGGAGTCGGGGGCAGCTGCAATGACACATGAGCATTCTGGGGAGGCACCAAAGAATTGTGGGGGCCTGAAGAAGCCACACTCCCAAGTGTCTGCTGTGGAAGCTGACTGGCCTTCTCAGAGTTCACCACCTCAGATGAGTGTTGCAAAACTTGTTGTTGCTGTTGCTGGGGGTGCTGTAGAGGGGGCAGCTGTGATGTGCTGGGGGTCTGTGGCTGGGGAGTCTGAGAACCAGGCACTCTGGGGGGTGTCTGATGGGGTTGAGGCGTTAAGCTGCGCGCTGGGGATGGCGAGTTTGTTCGGATGGGTGGGCAGTGAGGGTAGGAGTTAGGTTGGGTCGGGGTGGAGGATGGAGGCAAGTTTGGTACAGGTGTGGCACCACTGGTACTACCAGACCCCACGGAGCCTCCAGGGGCTCCAGCGGCGGACGGTGCTGCGGGGCTGCTGGCTGGGAGAGAAGGTGGAGTTGGCATCTGGTTCTGCTACAGAGGATAAGACAAGGTTAGAACAAGGTGAGCCAGGGGTGTCTGCTCTTGTTAACTAACACCAAAAAATTTTTTATTGAAGCTTTGCAAATGAGGAATCCACAGGATATAGGAGAGATAAAGAACAATATAGGTCATAGGGAGGTTTTCTCAGAACTCTGGAACTCCCCAAACACAACACTTTATTTAGAATCAGTCACTTTGAATCCTACAAAATGAAATAATCACAGAAGAAAATCAGTCGTCATGAATCATGTGCCAAAATCCTGAAGACGGTCATTTCGTTACTATTCATCAGTTCCAGCTACGTGCTATGGGATGTTTATGTTCCTCCTCATTCACATTTGTTTGATGCATTTCCCACTTCCCAATAAAAACTGCTTCGAATCTCACTATATCACATCCTTTTTTCAAGGTTCCCCTTGTCACAGTTCTATCAGTCACCTAAACCTTACCGGTGGCACAGCAGTCTGTGCTCCTGGCTGGTTCATACCAACGGGACCAGAACCAAGTCCAGGACTGGACACAGGAAACTGGCCTTGAGGGAGATACTGGTTCTGTAACTGTGTGGCACTGGGCTGACCCATCCTTGTTGCTCCCATACCCATCTGGAAACAAGACAAGAAGAGACATGTCAATGTAGGTGTGCCAATTGTATGTTTTTATGTAAATGAGAACTTAAACACACCAACATGGTTCTTCTGGCTTTTCTGTTTCTTTGCTCTTCGTGCACCCTCCTCCACATCAACTACAGCTCAGATTTCTTAGGATAATTAGATTTGGAAAACAACATCGTCTCAACCATTTAGACACCCAAGTATTGGAAAATGATTTATCTATAACTTTCAAACATGAAGTTCATCCCAAATTTTGGGATTTTAGTTCCGCTTTTAACACCATCCTTCCTCACAGACTAGTGTCCAACCTACAGGCTCTTGGACTTTCCAGCTCCATATGCCTTTGGATTTTGGATTTTTTGACTGCCCGCCCGCAGAGGGTTAGAGTAGGTTCTTATATGTCGACTGTCCTCACCCTCAGTACCGGCTCCCCACAGGGCTGTGTGCTGAGTCCCCTGCTCTATACCCTCTATACACAAGACTGTACCCCTACCCACCCCAGCAATACCATCATTAAGTTCGCTGATGACACTACTGTGGTGGGGCTTATCTCAAGGAACGATGAGTCCGCCTACAGGGATGAGGTAGAGCGGCTTTGTAGCTGGTGTCGGGAAAACAACTTGATCCTCAACACCGCCAAGACCAAGGAACTGGTAGTGGACTTTAGGAGGAATAAAACGGACATTAAGCCACTGTTCATCGACGGAGATCAGGTGGAGAGGGTGGCCGTCTTTAGGTTCTTGGGTGTTACCTTTGAGCAGCACCTGACTTGGGGCGCAAATACCACTGCTTTGGTGAAGAAGGCCCAGCAGAGATTGTATTTTCTCAGTCTTTTGAAGAAAAACAATCTGAATGAGAAACTGCTGGTGTCCTTCTATCACTGCTCAATAGAGAGCATTTTAACATACTGTGTCTGTGCCTGGTTCGCCAGTTGCACAGCTGCAGACAGGAGAGCGCTCCAGAGGGTTATTACCAGAGCCCAGAAGATTATCGGTTGCCCCCTACCATCTCTGGAAGAACTGTACAGTTCCCGTTGCTTGAAAAAAAGCACAAAACATTCTGCAGGACCCATCACACCCTGAACACTGTCTGTTTGAACTGCTGCCTTCGGGGAGAAGATACAGAACAATTATAGCAAGGACAAACAGATTAAGAAACAGTTTTTATCCGAGAGCTATTGTTGCTTTAAATGCTGCTAAAACCTTAAAATTTGAATGATTGATGGGATTGAACTGTGGAATAGTCAGATGTGTATGGATGCGAGTGTGTAAATTTGTTGGGTTTTATTGTTTATGATTATTTTTTATCATTGAAGGACTGCATTTTTAATTTCGTTGTACAATGTACAATGACAATAAGGTAAAGTAAAGGGGTCTGTGATGGAAATGACGGAGATGCCAACCTGGTTCACTGGAGCATTAAGTGGAAGAGGGGGTGTCGACCTCTGACCCATCGACTGCATCCCCATCTGACCAAACTGGCTCATTCCTAAAGGTGAAGCAGAATGGAAAACAAGAGGTAAGAAAAATGCTCAATAGTCACTCTGAAACTGGCTCTTTCACTTTTTATTTAAAAAAAAGCTGTCTGACCCATCAATAAGCTATGAATGTTTGCCATCACTGTAAAAACACACAGCTCCGCAGTATCACCAGCAAATAACCGATTCCGTACTGCCAAGCAGCATCCTTCTTCCTCTAATGCTTGTACCATTTTGGTATATAATCATACATAAAAAGGATATAAACACAAAGTATTTCCTGTCTATCTGCAACAGACAATGACAAGAATCTGGTGTAACCACATCTACAACATATTTTAAAATAGGCAAGTACGTGAATATATTTTTTTTTGTCTAAACAAATTATATGTTAGTTCATTTCAACCTTGATTGTTTTGAAATGTGGCGGCCCTGGCTCCCACACAGATATGGACTACGTTCCTGAACAGAAAGTGGCTGGGATGAAATATGTTCAGTGAAGTCTGCAGATCTTTGTTTTTGCACAAACAAGTCACTGTGGAAAATTTAAAATGTCATTTCTTAAACTATGAAATCTCCAAATGCAATTCTGTTCACTCCTGTTGTGTGGAAGTGGCAGCAGAGATGTCTCAAAATAAAAAGATCTGCATATTTTGATACCATTACAAAAAATATTTGCTCATCATAAATCTGCAGCAATCTTAAGCTTAATCGTCTGCAACTCACAGGCTGCCCAATACACTTTTAATATTTTTAATTTGTAAAACCCTTAGAACTAGACTATTTAAAATAAATGTGCCCCACTGAGACCTGTGGACTCTTGTACAAGGGGGGTCCTGGCCAGGATAGCTGGCGACAAGGTTACAGACAACAATTAGTTACAAACATTGACCATAACAGTGAAAATGTCACACAGTAATTAGACATACCCGCTGGGCTCTGCATCCTGCTGACCATCTGATTGGGCCCAGCTGGTCGGACCATGGATGGATCGGCGTGAGGACCGTCTGACAAAGCAAACAAACTCCTTCATACTTGGGAATGTGAAACACTTACATGACTTATTTTTCCATTTGAAGATTTGATCCTTGATTACAATTATGTATATCAGGTAACATGGCTTTGATTAAAGGTTAAGCAGTGAAAATGCTGCAGCCAGAGTACTGACAGGAACTAGCAAGAGAGATCATATCTCTCCCATATTAGCTTCTCTCCACTGGCTCCCTGTAAAATACATAATAGAATTTAAAATCCTTCTCCTAACATACAAAGCCCTTAATGACAAGGCTCCATCGTATCTTAAAGACCTCGTAGAGCCTTATCATCCTAACAGAGCACTTCGCTCTCAGAGTGCAGGTTTACTTGTGGTTCCTAGAGTCCACAGAAGCAGAATGGGAGGCAGAGCCTTTAGCTATCAAGCTCCTCTCCTATGGAACCAACTCCCAGTCTCAGTTCGGGAGGCGGACACCCTCTCTACCTTTAAGATTAGACTTAAGACGTTCCTTTTTGATAAAGCTTATAGTTAGGGCTGAGCCTTCCCTTAGTTATGCTGCTATAGGCCTAGGCTGCTGGGGGCCCCATGATGCTCTGAGTTTCTTTCCCCTCCCCTCCCCTCCTACTCTGCTCTGATCTCCTCTCCTCTCCTCTCCTCTCTTCTCTCTCCCTATGCTTCTATATGCCACCATTACACATTACTAACTTTGTGTCTCCTCTCTCCCGTAGTGTGTCCTCTCTCTCTCCCTGTACCTTTCTGCAGGTTGCCCTGGCCCTGGAGCTCTACGTCTCTGACGAGCAGTCACCAGCCACATTGACCTGATCAGTGTTTGATTGTTGTGTCTTGTTGCTTTTCTTCTTTTGTCTCTCCTCTATCCACTCACCCCAACCGGTCGAGGCAGAAGGCCGCCCACCAAGAGCCGGGGTCTGTCGGAGGTTTCTTCCGTTAAAGGGAGTTTTTCCTCCCCACTGTCACCAAGTGCTTGCTCAAGGGGGATTTGTTGGGTTTTCCCTATATAATAATATTGATAACAGTAAGGTCTAGACCTTACTTTGTAAAGTGTCCTGAGATGACTTTTGTTGTGATTTGGCGCTATGCAAATAAAATTTGATTTGATTTGATTTGAAACGTCCTTTCCATTATCTGCCTGCAGTATGCTGTATTTACTTGTGTTCATGTATGTCTATGCACACAAAGAAGTATCAGAGGGAGGTGAGAACAGTACATTTACTTACTTGGGGGCTGCCCTGGGGCTATGGGCGGTTGTCCCAAGCTGGGGGGGCCCTGCGGGAGGCCTGAGGGGGATATGCCTGGCTGACTGGGCATCATGCCCTGCTTCTGCAGGCGTGTCCTCCTCTTTTCTTCCAGCTCCTTTTGGATTTTGTAGATCTTCTCTGCCAGCAGGTGGTAGTACTCTGCCTACAAGGTGATGCAGCACATGCATAAAATAAATACATGCATTTATTTCCTCACTCCTTAGCTAGAAAGTTGTGATCTTGCCACATTACTTAATGCTCTGCGTGTTAGTTTTGTACCCTGCTGTTGGCTGACTCGTACATGTCTCCCTCTACTTTTCGAGCGTAAGCCACCAGATTCTCCATCCGCCGATCCTTCAGTGCAGCTGGGTCAGGAGTAGGGAAGATGGCCTGCACACTGCTCGCATACATTAACAAACAGGACAGACATACAGCTACAATTAACCTGAGGACAAAGGCATCTAATTGAAACCCAGAACTGGAAATGATCTAATATTCCACTCAGTTCATTTCATTAGCTCCTGCTCATAGGGGGATATTTGGGGCTGCTTGCAGGACACATCGGACTCACAGCTTGTGGACAAGGTGGTTGCGGAGGTCCTGCTTGATGTCTTCATGCCAAGACTTCCTCATACCAGCAACAGAAGGAGGACCTGCTGTGGGCATGGAACCCACATTTCCCACACCATCATTCATCAAACTGCAGGAAATACAGACAAGATAAAACATGACTAAAGGGTAACACACAAAGGTGGCATTAACACACACACTAAAGTCGTGAACGCAGTGCGGAAACAGCTACTTCTGCTACATCATGAGTACATTTTACATGAAAGGTGTTTTGCATTATCAATGCATTTTCCTAAAGCATTCATGGCTTTTACTTGTATTAAGTATTCCTACATTTTGGTATAAGCTACTGGTTAACAGGAACATAATCAGGTGAGGGTGGTGTTCAATCACAAAGCGCTAAGGTGCAGCAGCCTATAGCCAAATATAAATCAACCAAATCATCATCATTTTTAAACAGAGTTGTTAACTCTCACACTTTCGGCATGAGACACCTGTCCTTCATTCAAGAAAAATGGGCTAGAGTTTTTCTGTGCACACTGCGTTTTAGTCCACAAACAATACAGAAAGCCAAAAAAAGATAGTTTGTGGTTTTGTGGGAAGAGTCACACACACCTCTCCAAAATCACAAAACACCTTTCATGTAACCTAATGTTGAGTTTGTTGGTTGTAGCTCTTGGTAAAGTTCTTTCCTCTGAGTTTATTAAATACTTGTTGCTCTCACACAGCTGTAGGAACGATATGAACATCTCTAAAGTTGCTGTGTGCATTTACATACGTGGTTCAACAGGAGTAATATCAATTTATTATAACAGGTTTCTACACTTGAGACAGGTAAGCTATCACACACGGTCACGGTTTATAAAGGTACAGTCAAATCATTTGTTCCATAGTGCACCTGCCATCACAGCTGCTCACACTTTACAAGTGTTTTCATTAGTGAGTAAAAGTCTGAGCTGTTTATTCTGCAAAGTCACTAGTGGTTATGTAAAGCACTTTGAGCTGCTTCCGTGTATGAAATGTGCAATGTGAATACAGCTGCCTTACCTTCCAAGTCTGCTATAATGAGGACAGAAGGTTTAGCTACCTCCAAAATCAGCGGTGTTATTGCATTACTTTACTTCATCTCTCACCTGAGGAACATAAACCTCTACCTACTGTTTTTTAATAATATGACAGGACTGTGGGTCACGGAGCTCCGGGGTTTTTTTTTTTTTTTTTTACATTTTAACACCCCTCCTTGAACCGCCACCTTATTGTGGTGGAGGGGTTTGAGTACCCGAGTGATCCTAGGAGCTATGTTGTCGGGGACTATATGTCCCTGGTAGGGTCTCCCAAGGCAAACAGGTCCTGGGTGACGGGTCAGACTAAGAGTGGTTCAAAAGCCTTTTATGAATAAATTAAAATCAAGGACTGTGATGTCGCCCAGCATGGCGCAGCTGGGGCCCCACCCTGGAGCCAGGCCCGGGGTTGGGGCTTGAATGCGAGTGCCTGGTGGCCGGGTCTCCCCTCACGAGGCCCGGCCGGGCTTAGCCCGAACGAGTGACGTGGGAACGTCCTCCCGTGGGCCCTCCGCCTACAGGAGGATCCGTAAGGGGTCGGTGCACAGTGGATTGGGCAGCAGTCGAAGGCAGGGGCCCCAACGACCCCATCTCTGGACACGGAG